TTTCAACATCTTTTTCTGAAACCTACATTGTAGCATGGCATAGACAATTCGCGTTTGCAGTTTGAAGAACACCTGCTTGCTTCTGATGATTTCCTTTAGCTAACCAATGAGTGTTTTTGTTATATGACTCATTCAATTACACTAGTTTTCACTAGATGTGGATGGAGCCAATGATCTGCATTGGATGCGCAATATTAGCTGTATGATCTGAAGCCTCATTTGGAGATTTTAAACAGGCTTTTCAAAAACTTTGATAATTTGCTGCTGTAATATTATAGATTTTTTTTAGAATAAAAAGCTAGCAGATGAGCATAATCAAAAAATAACAGAAATACAATTACACAGCATTCAGAGTTGTAAGAAAGCCCACACTTCTTCTGAATAAATACATTATTGTATGAGTTAAGTTCTGTTTCGTTTATCTCTCTTTCCTTATAAGTATGAAATGGCCCATGCTCCTGAATGCACCACAGCTATTTGATATTCGCAAATGCGGCATCACACTGGTCTGTGAACGCTATGCTGTGTAGATGCACGTTTGATTTTCCGCTGAAGACAAAGCTTTGCAGTTTCAAAACTCATGTCGGCTATCACTGTTTATTGTTGTGTGTGAATAGCAAGAGACTACAACAAATAAATCAGCTGTACCTTGGACATAATCTTTGGATTTAATGTTTTTCAAAACACCCTTACATTTGTAAATGAGTCTGCCAAATAACCACAATTTTTTCTCACGAGAGGAATATTTAAAAAGTTTTATATCATAATATAACAACAAATAGCTCCATTGGTCATATTTTAATCAGTTTTCCTCATCGATAGTTGTACAGAGTACAGTTGTACAGAGCGAGGCGCACTCCCGCGACTGGGGATGCATATCTCGGCAGGGATGCACTTTTCGGCATAACACCGGACCGCGCTCCGTTAATCCCTGACCTCTGCATTAATCCAAAGCGAGTAACGAGTAACGTTGGTTTTAAAAATGTAGGGAATAGAAAGTAAAGATACTTGTGTGAAAATGTAAGGAGTAGAAGTCAGAAGTAGGAGGAAAAATAAGTAATGGGGTGAAGTATAGATACCTAAAAGGTGTACTAAAGTACAGTAACGAAGTATTTGTACTTCAATACTTGGTTAAACTGTTCTCTTCAATAGGTTTGCTAAATTATTTAAAATTACCAGGAGAAAAAAAAATGTATGTGAAAACACCACAAGAATAAGCCTTGCAAATGAGTTAAGAGGACATTTGGAGTACAGCCTATTGGGATGATTGATGCTGTATGCGGCTGTAAAACTATAAACTGGTGTTAATATGAACACATCTAAGAATTTAAAAAGACATAAGATTAATGTAAATAATATATTTCAGTTTAAACAAAGTATGCTTAAATGTATTTTTTTGTGAATGATGATGGCCTATATAAATATGAAAGTAGTAGAATGAATCTTTACTACTTTTTAGTTATTTGGGGTTTTTGTTTCTTATGTGGTAATTGCAGTACTTTTCAGAAACTCTCCTGATAAGTTAAAACCCTTTTCCATTTAAAATACTTGAACCTATTTAGCTATTATGTTAAAAGTTATAAGAAAATACAAGTGTAATAAGAGTATACTATTGATTTTGATTGTATTAAAATAAAAAGACTTTTGGCATGTGTTTAATTAAGCATCTGCTTAATGTTTCTCAAAATTAAACAACTCTAGCTTTTATTTGAAAAGCTTAAATTGGTAGCATTGCATTTACATTTTCTTTCTTTGTTCAGGTGTTTCTGCATATGTGATTCACATTTTGGCTTGTTGATTTTTTAAGCTTAAGTCAAGCAGAGCTGTCTCGTGTCTGTGATCTATTCTATATAAATAAACAACTATTTTCAGCAAAAAACACCAACTTTTGTTATTTCACCCTTAACGCTTTTATTTATTGTTAAAAATTTGGGTTTTTTTTGTTTGTTTTTTTGTTTTGTTGTTGTAAAGTTGACTAGTTTTTCAGTTTCAAAACGCCAAAGTAGCCTTTACTCTGAGTTAAGTTACTACTACAAGTTACTCCTTAAACCATCTTGGATTCTTGCAGGATTTGTGGTCTTGTGAGCTAAGACTGAACTCCAAGACAGGGTTATGGACCTTTCAAATAGCAAATAATCTGTGGTGCAGTTCAATGCAATTCAATAAAAAATACTGATCCTAAAGCAGGGGTGTCAAACTGGTTCCAGAAAGGGCCGTGTGGTGGCAGGTGTTCTTTCCAACCAATGTACATGTACATGTTCATCACGGTACAACAGTAAAGTTAGTTTTCATTGCTTCCCTGTGGATAGTGTAGTGCGCCGGCATTGGCTAAGCAAAATTCGGAGGCAAGATTTCAGTCCCTGTAGAGAGACACGGGTATGCAGTTGACATTTCCTGCCTAATGATCTGTTAGAGACACCAAGGGGAAAGAGGTGCTTAAAAAAGGGTGCTTTTCCCGTTTTATTTGAATGGAATAACTACTCTTTGCCCGTGCCAAGACCCAGTGTGAGGGAACGTCAGACCCAGGGAGGAAGAGGCCAAAAGCCCCGCTGCTGCAGCGCCGACTGTGGACTGTTCGGAGATGGTGTTTGTGGCTCCTGAACACGATTGCTGTGTTTCACCTGCAAGTGGAGTTATGATCAACAAGCTAGTGATGCAAAACAAGGCCCTACAAAAACAAGTTCAGATGTTGCAGCGTGAAGTTCAGCGGCTGCAACTGCGGACCCTTTTCTGTCTGGAACGTTTTAAATGCTCAGACGACGACATTCGGCATTATACCAGGTTAGTATTTGTTATCATTATTTTTGTTGTTCGTCTTTATGCTACATGCACTGTATAAACTATAATTTATTTATTGCTTTACCGGTGCAGTAAATACAGAAATATTATCAAACGGAGGCACATCACAGAGTTTTCGCTCGTTAACACTCTATTGTTTACATGACAACTTGTTAAAATTAAATGGGGTAGTGATATTAAATTGGGATTTAAATTATCCACATTGCTTTAGAACAGATCTCTGCGTTATTCAGTTTAACATTGGATTTACAGTTGGAGATAATGACAACAATTATGCAGTATTTTTTATATATATTTTTTTCTAAAACCATATCAACAGGTTTGCCTCATATCGACATTTCCAGTATTTTTGGAAGCTGGTGGAGCCTGCTGTGATTACAAAGATGATCCGTGTCACCAACACCAAGTCCTCAACAGCTA